AAGGCCGCCGATGACGAGTGATCCGATCTTAATACTGCGGACTGGGAAAATGCGGCGGTACATCAATAGCAGCGATAGCTTAGTGAAGCATACACAGGTGACGTATAGACATTCAAATGCTATTAGCGACTGTATCTATGTCAGCTAACATGATATCTCAAGGAGCGTTATGAATATCTTCACCTTCGCGTATGATACAATCTCGGGGGTGCTCAGCGCTGCTGTATGTCGTCCCAGTCCAAAATACAGTCCTTTGAAAGTTCTCAGCGATTTGGAGTTTATGCCAGTTTGAGAAAAACATACCAATTATACATGTTGCAAAAGCCATGAAGAGAAAGAACTGGAAGTAGTCAGCTCTCGTTTTACAGGAAAACAGGTGCGGTAAGCTGAACTTGCCAAAGCAATATATATCATAATATCATCACTCCCAATTCCAATCCCGTTCATCCGCCGAGATATGAATCGAAGTACAACAAAAACAACTGCAAGCAAAACGATTGCGACACTTGTAGCTCTGAGTTCAGACTGTCGGTTGTCCATGAGGTCCACTTCCGCCATTTCGACACTTTCAACACCTATCAGATCGGTATTGATTAGATCAAGTAGAAACTAGAATTTCCATGATATATAACCTGGCGTGAACTACTACGAAGAACAGAACATTGTGATATCTTTCCCCTTTCTTTCGAAACTAAGCTTGGGTGATCCCGACTATGGGGCTTTTGTGACAAAAATTATGATCTTATGTTAGGAACAATGGATGATCGCTTTACCGCGGTACCACAGGCCGAAAAGGAAATATTAATCCGCGATCGCGTGCGAACCAGCTATACTACTACATGGTCTCAAGGATACTTGTAGTCCCTGTTCTAGCAACTTTAATTTGTTAGTCAATCAGCTCGCAGAAACAACCCCTCTGTGTCATTTGATTGGCTGAAACATAGATCGTGGAGCGACAGGGACTACAAGTATTTATCCTTGAGACCAAATATGTGAGGGTGGATCTCAACCATGTGACTCGCCTGCACGTGATTCTGACACGGCGCCGGAACCTTTTCCAAGCGAGGCGCGACTCTCTAGCAGCAGCTAAGTAAGTCTCCGAAAGGCTCGACTAGTAGAATTGGCCACTTACTCGAATCCATCAACGCAATCAAAAGAAAATTTAGTGGCACTTCCATTTCTAACATTTCATCGAAGGCTAAATTTCATTCGTTTCTTAAGTAGAGCATTGACGTTCTGAATTCTATTGCGGATGCGTGAGAAAAAGGAACAATAATTGAACAAGTTTGCAACTGTCTCAGATTTTTAGATTCCGACAATAACCCTTTTATATTTCTACCTATTGGCCAGTAGCTTTCCAAGTACCCTAGAAATAATCCTTGTAGAATTTAGTCTGACAGCCGGTAGTTCCCGCAGCGTTATGCACGACCGAGACTATTACCGCACGGAGCTCTATCAACCGATAATCTATTCCCGCTCTTGGGTATTGATACAGACTCCCGAGTCCCGAGCAATAAAAGTGAAGCAAACCCATTTAGCTGGGAGCGATTGAAATGGCGACACGCTAATTGAACTTAAACCTAATAAGGAATTGAAATAAAGCATGTTCAAGATTAGGTTTTTATGCATATATAGGGGGGTGCTACAAGGCTTATTTAAAGCCTTATGCCTCAATATAAGGCTTATAAATCATATTTTCTTTTTTATCTCTAAGTCGAAATGGATCACCTGCTTTTGTTACCACGTGATATCGAGCTTTGATGTCATTCCTTATTCGAATCAGCTTCATTGCCTTTTACAATATCACGTATAGAATACGACTTAATCTGGCTAACAATTGATAATGTTTATTCTATACGTAGATCACATGTATCATATGAGAGCATCACCTCTCATTATATCATATGTTGATGGGGAATCACATGATATTGAGTCAGGTGATATGCATGCAAGGTTCAATATGGGAGAGCGACTAGAGCAAATCAGGGCTAGATTCTTCGAATTATCAGAGTACTCTGATTCGTTGGAATTGACACAAAAAGCCATTATTATGCAGAGATTCGAAGATTGTTTAAGCGAAGTTACGAACGCTTTGATTGGGCTTTCGATCGAAGATTTCATTTCAGAGTCGTAGTGTAGATCGTACTTAATAGAGTTTAGTTTTCTTAGCGTGTCGCCATTTCAATCGCACCCATTTAGCTTCCATGTCCCAATTATATTTCCACTGGGATGAAAGGTCATTTGGTGGATCAGGCCCTGGCAAGCCCCGCGGGACACAGTGATCGCCACTTTAATACACGCGAACGATCATGACTGTAATACTACAAGTAGGGTTGAGCATATATAATACATTACTTTTGTTATAATATAGTTTATTAGTGGCTCAACTATATTAGTAGTTTAAACACTTCAAATACATATAAAATTCACCTGTATATAATCATACATTTTATTTATTTATTAATATAACTTAATAAAATCAGAAATTATAAAATTTAATTATATAAATATGAAAAAAATCTAATTCTTTATTAAAATTCTACTAATAGAAAAATTAAATACAAAAATAGCTTTTTTCTAACGAAAATAAAAATAAAATTAATAAACTTTTAAATATAATAGATATTGTTTTATTAAAATTAGATTTTTAAATATTTAAATTTTCCTAAGCTTTTTAAAATAGCTTTTTTCTCAAAGAAAATATTGATTAGTTATTAAAATAATTTTTTTTTTTAAAAAGCACGATTTTAATTATTTTTTAATGTATTTAATCTATTAATACTAGAGGCCTGCGAGCCCTCGAACCCTTTACTTCTTGAGAAAGAATAATATAATAATTATTATTATTATAAAAATCTAAAAAGTAATTTATTTAAAGCTTATAAATAAAGTTAGTTGATTATTATATTATTTTCATTATTTTAATTCGAATGAACAATTGTATTATTATACTATAGAAGCTTTAAACATTAAAATAATTTCATTAATATAGATTCTTTAATAATTAATATATTTCCTTTTGTATTGATTATATAAACTTTAAAACCTTTTAAAGAAATTTAACTTAAATTTATTATATAAATTTTAACATTGAAGCTAGTATCATAAAAATTAGATTAATTAAAAGCTCTTAGTTTATTCTATATGATTATCTCTTTTTTAAAAAAATTAATTGACATTATTTTTAATAAGATAATTTAAATGCACCTCAGGATTTCATTAGAGGAAATTATTTCAAGTTATATATTATAATACTATAATATCAAGAATATTTTATATAAGAGTTTAAATCAATTGTATTACTTGAATCGGGTTTTAGCCTTTAGCAAATCAACTTTTATAAATATATATAGTACTTAGATTCTATAAACAGTAAGATTATTAAGGAGATAAACCTTCATATTTAAGCTATTAATAAATTATGTTATTTATTAAAAATTTATAATATGTAATATTAATTAAAGAAATTATATATCGATTTTTTAAGTGAGGTCTTTTTTAACGATATTTTAACAGGAATTTTAATTGGATATTCGATGATAAAAATCTTTCGAAGATTATATTACTTATGATATGATTTAAACTCATATGATAAAGATAAATGAAATTTGAGAAAAAAATAAGATATATAACAATCTTTTTTTAACTACTTACTAGAGAATGTCTTCGAATCCATCCTATTTTTATTTATTTTAATGATTTAATTGATTAGCTACAAAACATATGTAATAATCTTATTATAATACTTTGATAATGTTCAAAAAGTGTGATAATATAGAAATTTTATATTCTCCTCCCAAAATATATAATTTGCCCAACCCTAACTACCAGACCTTTTAGCCTTTTCTTCCTATGAAGTGATCCTGCCATGTCTATGTCTCTTGTCACTGTCTCCCCTTGCTACAACCCATTACTCATCCATCGAAAGAAGGATGAATTTGTGTCGTGTGGACCCGACTATCAGGGTCATGACTCATGACTCATGACTCACAAAAGTCCCTTTCGCATCGTACGTACTCGTGCGGCCAGAAAGTCTGCACACTGTTGCTTTGATAGAAATTAAAGTATTGTGGGGAAGCTCTCTAGTGCTGAAAGGGGCACAACTCAACCATATCGGTGTTGAAAGCAGTAAGGGCTTCAATATAAAGCGAGCTATTCAATCGATTGAATTTTTCAAATCTCATTGAATATAGTGAGGATTGGGAAGAAGCAGTAGATTCCATTTGGCGCATTGAGCCGACCGATATAAACGTATTTAGCGCCGGAGTTGCATAATTATTGGGCCCGCAACGAGTTCGTATTTCGCCGTCAGTAGGCTAAACAGTTCCGTTGTGTCAAGCACTAAATGTTAGTGCAAGTACTCTTTTTACAATACCAACCCCGCCTTTGAATTCAGTGGAAAAACCACATTGCTTCTCTAATGCTATGTAAACGTTCTTTTATTTTCAGCTTTAGAATCCATGGTATTTCTATTCATGGTGTTTCACGATTCTGTCGACAAGCCGTCATCCACTGAATTAACTTTTTTCACTGTGGGGTAGATAGGAGGACTTTCTATGCTTTTTGAGATATCAGGCTGGCGAGCTATGTGGAGTATATTTGATTTGAGGTATAGCTAGTTTGTAACAATTTAAGCTTGCATGTAAGAAGCGTCAAAAAGAAGGGGTCTAGAGCTTGTACTCGTTGATCGCGTGTAAGCTCTCATCGAGTCGGTTGTTTTGGTACAAGTACATTCTTTATGTAGTAGACTGGCACGCTGAATTCGTAGCGTTGCAGTAGAAAACAGGTCGTAAAATCAGCTGGTTTGTATTGAGTTTCTTAGCTTGGAGGCGGGGCCTAGCTTCATATCTGGAGACAGCCAAACTTTCCGATCCTCTTGCGTCCTTTTCTCTCCTGATCCTAGAAGATTTGCTAATCTAGAGAAGTATACATATCTGGTAGTAACCTGTAGATCTCTCCAAAATGTCGACTGAAAGCCAACCATCCATCGTGCCTGGAGCATGGCACTTTCTGCCAGCTTTGATGCTGTGAGAGAATTACTCAAGCCCCTAAGTTATCCAACTGAAGCTGTGGCGCTGCCATCCATTGGAGCTGAGCCCCCAAATAAAGACCTATCTGACGATGCTGCTCATACCCGGGCTGCGATTGAGAAGCTGGTCGAGGCAGGAAAGAAAGTCGTCCTTGTCACTCACTCGTATGGAGGGTCGTTGGATCTTGTGCTGTCGAAGACCTGGGCTTCGCTCAGAGGAGGAGTGATGGAAGGAAGGTGGGGTTATCAACTTTGTGTACTTGAGTGCATTTGCGCTGCCGAAGGGCGTCAGCCTTCTTGTTGCTCTCGGAGGTAACCCGCTTCCTTCCTTGGATGAACTCAAGGGATAACTACTTTCAAGTATCGATTCATTTACTAAAATTCCACAGGCGACTATTGCTATCGACACTCCAGGGAATATCTTCTACCACGACCTATCATCGGAACCAACAGAAATGGATTGCGCAACTCTCACATCCTCCTCTGCTGCGTCTTCAGTGGCAAATCAACACACGAGCCTTGGAACCATATGCCATGCACTTACATATTCTGCGAGGACGATAAGGCAATTCCTCTTCCAGTGCAGCAAGGGATTGCAGCGTCTATGGAAGTATTATCACGACCTTCAGCATTGCTGCTTCGCATTCGCCATTTTTGAGCACCCCTGACAAGGTGGTGGAGGGTATTGAGTTGGCTGCGAAGCTTGGTTTGGAGAAGAGCCAGTAGATTGCAGCTTCAAGACTTTATGGTACTGGTGGTATATAAGAGATACGGAAGCGGGGGAACCAGACTGGACATTGTACGCACACCTGTGTATATATCATTCATGGCAGACTAAAATCGGGAAACTGACATGATTGGTCAGTTTATGTGAGAACTCGCGACTTCCATCACAAGTGGCCGTTCTATTAATCACAACATGACAGAGTTGGAATTCTCTCAGCAGGCAAGTGTCGGTAGATAGCGGGCTGAATATCATGATTTAGGGGCCAAATAGCCGAGTAATCTCCCTTTCGGAGCCGTCATTTGTTCTTTCAACAGTTGATCGAATTCAAAGCTAGGAGCTATTTTCACCCACACAGAAGAGATATCAAAACTCGAGATCTGGCCCTAGAAGTAGTTATTATAAACAACATTTATGGGTTTTTTATATATAAAGAAATAACATATAATCCATACATTATAAATATCATTTATGAATTAATTCTAATCTTATTAAATCTATATATACAAGCTTTAGAATTAACGTAGTTTATTATTACGTATATTATATCAGTATATATTTAGCTTATATATACTCTGTGTACTCTTGAGTATTTTTTCATATATATACCTAACTATTATTCCGAGGATTTTTTTAGTAGTTAGTATTAATAATGACTATAACTCTAAGGAAAGTAATAACTCAGACAAAAAGTCATTATTTAGTCATTATCTCCTTACCCTACCCCTACCCCTTATGCGAGGGCCCTTTCATGGCATAAAAGGAGGGCACGGCCGTTATTTGTCTGGGAACATAACCCCAAGACCCCACACGACCCCCACATGATTTTATAAAAGGGATTTCACAAAAGGGGATTTCTTGGGTTCCTCATCCCCGCCTCCCATCCCGATCTTGCAACCGTAGAACGTCTCGTTGCCATTCCGCATGGCCTGCGACCTCGCATACAACTCTGACCACCAGGTTCTGATCTGCACACAGTGCCAGACGTGCATCGCTCCAGGGGCCCGAAGTATCGCGCAACACCTCCGAGCCGAACCCCACCGCCTGTCAGGTGATCTTTTGAAAGCTCAACTGAGCTACGCTCAATCGTTAAGTCTGAAGACGAAGCGTCAATTGCGAGAAGACAAACCTGCGCGTAGGGCTGCGCAGTTAGAGCATCTCAGAGTCTTCCACGGCTTTCAGTGTTTATCATGCGATCCATCCTTTTTAACCACTCACCTCCCACGAATGCGGGATCACATGGTGACTCATGGCCGGAAAGCGAGCGAGCACAAAGCGACCCCGCTATGGCAGGCATGCTTACTCCAAACGTACTTTACTGCACCGAGGTATGTTGATTACTTTGTGGTTGTTGCAAATCCTGGGCCCCATGGTGGAAATGGCGATGTGATCCCTTTAACCCGGTCGGAGAAGGATTCCATTGATCAGATTGAGCAAGATGCGTTGAATGTCAAAAAGGATCTCTTCAAGGCAGCTGGCGTCGTTCGGGACATTAAGGAATCTCGCTCCGAGAGGGTACCGTGGTTGCACGACGTCACCAAGTTCCCTTTTCACTTAGTTCATTTAAAAGACGAGGAGATTTGGGCTTCGTATAAGCTCCCATCGAAGAAGGAATTGGATGGAGATTACCTTGAAGCGGATGATCCTCAACTTGTTCGCATCCTCCATGCCGCCGAAGCTATGATGCGAGATGCCTATCAATTGTGCTCTGATACATCCCCCGATCGTAAGATGACTCAGCAGCGAGCTAACATCCTCAATGAATTTTATTCCGGAGCGAGTGGCAAGGCGGATGGGTTCCGATATCACAAGAATGCTTCGACGTTGGTCAAATACTTCCTGATCGGGAAACAACTCTTGGTATATTATTATCGAGTGGTGTATTCGGAGGATGGCTTTTTCACCGCCACGGAATCGGATCAATCATTACCACGTGATATTATCGAACCGACCTCAACCCAAATTCGTGCGATGGATGCTATCATGGAAGCCTTGAATATGGAAGATCCCGAAGAATCTGAATTAGCTTTGAAGCATGCTATTCGACGATTATATCTAGCCTTGATTTGTCACTCGATTGGAAGTGCACCGTTTAAATCACCGGTCTTGAGTTTTTGTGCTATGAAGAGTCGCATGATTTATGGGCGGGGATTGTGGGAAGAGCCAGGAAATTTTAATAGTTACCTGTCGGCTCTCACGTGGACGGCGCAACTGATCCTCTTTGGTTTTGTCTGTTTTCAAGAGCAAGAGGACGAAGATCAAATTCCCATTCTCCTCACCACGCTCTGCAAGAAGTTCTTTCAACAATTAGCCGAGACCCCCTTCGGTTACATTCTTCAGTGGCGTTTATATTTATTCAAGGTGAGTAAGGCTTCCATTGCTAAACACCAAGCTCGATGGTCTTTGGATCGACAGATTGTGGGGTATCGCGGGGTAGAAATATCCATGGAACAGATTTCGAACGTGGTGCTTTCGGAATTTCAACAAGCTCACTCTCTCCTGTACGATGAATTGTTATTTGGCATGCAAGATTTAATTTCGATGGTTTCGTGGCGGATGAAGGATGATCTGGATTCCGAGGATTTTGGGGATTCTTGGCTCTCCCACTCACACAATTCGGAATTTTTAGAAGGGGCAGATCTGAGGCTTTTTCGATACATCAAGACGAACACTAAATTGCACACCACTTTCTTCAAGGTTGATCAAGAGGGAGGGTTAATCTTGTGTTCGAAAGCTATGAAGATATATGAAGTGCAAGCTCAGGAATTCTTAAAGCGACTCTTGATCCTCTGTCACATTGCTCCTGGTCCACCTCTGCGAGAGCCCGAATTGCTTTCTATCACGTGGCGGAATATGGAACGACAGCGACATATTTATATTTGGGAAAAGTTGGTGATGATCTATACCCAATATCACAAAGGACAACAACAATCTGGTGCATACAAGAATAATATTCGATTTCTCCCGAAAGCTATTGGGAATTTATTACTTACTTATATTGCATATGTTATTCCCCTTCGACAAATCTTTCTTCGACAAGAAAATCCGACCGCTTTGATATCCCCGTACCTCTGGTCCAATCTTCAAGGGACTGTGTGGGTAGATGGAGTTATTTCGACTTGCTTACGGAAAGCATGTAAACGTGCTCAGGTTTCGATACTACACACTTCCAATTGGCGACAATTTGCTGCTTCCATCACGAAAGAGAAGTTTACTACGAGAGAACAAGCCAACTTTGATCTGGACCATACTCCTGGTGAATTTGTTGAAGATGAATCCGATTTGAGGGCGTTGGCCGAATTTAGCAATCACAGCTTTCAAACCTTCAATGTAGCTTACGCTGGAACGACCAATCTCACCATGAATACTATGTTGCATCGAGGCTTTCGGGCTTCGGCTAGTTGGCATTCCTTCTTTCGATTCGATTTCGTTCTGCAAGGGAAGCGAGCCTCGAGTCCATCGGATGCTCTAGTGTTGCGAGCCGCGAAACGAAGTCGATTTCGTCAGAGGCAAGGGTACTCGGAAGAGGATTTACTTCAAGTGGCTCAAAGATTATTCCCTTCTGTCACTTTTCAATTTCGTCAACCTGGTCAACGTCGTGGGGTGTTGACTACTTTTGGAACTACCTTTCACGAACAAGTCATCTTGATCTTGGGAACCGGCTCCGGCAAGACCTTAATTCCTATGCTCAGCGCTAGCCTTGCGGACGCTAGCACCACCATCATGATCATTCCTATGGTGGCCTTGCGGATTGACATGATCAAACGTTTTAATGCAGTTGGGATTCCCTCGGTCGTGTGGTCGGTGGAGTGTCGGGAAACCCCTCCATTGGTGATCGTATCGGCTGAAGCGGTTTGCAACGATAGCTTTTTGGAATACGCTCAAGGGCTAGTCTTTCGACAGAAATTGGATCGCATCATCATGGATGAGTGTCACCTTACCATTACTACGAGTGAGTATCGCTCTTGCATGACGCAAGTTGGGTGGTTCATTCGACAAATTCGTACTCAATCCATTTGGCTATCTGCCACCTTGCCTCCGGTGATGGAAGAATTATTCATCGAACAGAACAAATTGGTTTGCCCTCAAATCATTCGAGAGTCGACCAATCGATCTAACCTTCAATATCTTGTTAGTTATGGAGATGGAGTTGATTCTTTGATGGAGAAAGCGAGAGAGTTAATTGAAGTGTGTTGGCCCGATCCTAATATCTTTGATCAAAGTTGTGATAAGATTATTATCTACTGTCGCACTCGTGATGTTGCTGGCGCGGTAGCAGAATTGATGAATTGTCCTCTGTACACATCAGAATCCGGGACGGTTCGCGAGAAGGGGGAGATCATTCAACGGTGGCTCTCCAATCCTCAGCAACCCGTGATCGCTGCTACGTCCGCTCTCGGGATTGGATTTGATTACCCTCACATTCGATGGGTCATTCACCTCGATGCTCCAGAGCGGGTGACGGCTTTCTCTCAAGAATCCGGTCGGGCGGGACGCGATGGGAGGAAAGCTTCCTCCATCATCTTGTTAAATTCGACTTGGAGACCTCAACGTGATACCTTTCTTCCACCCGATCAAGCTACCATGCAACTCTACCTCACTCAACAATATTGCTCACGTGGCGTCCTCAGTCAATTCCTCGATCGGCCTTCGGATTGGCGTTGGTGCATGTCAAGTGATGAGGTCTGTCAAGTGTGTAGGGAACCTCATGAGGAACCTCGCCCCCCTCATTTGATATACACTTTAAATCCATCTACTATAGAAATTGAATCCACTGGCCCTCGAGAGATTCACACTCAAGATTTTCGACAGGATCAAATCCTCGATCGATACGAGCAGGATCTCCTAACCTTTCAGGATTCTTGTCTCTACTGTCGAATTCACCATCGTCGCTTCGATCACCTCTCTTCACAATGCTCTCGAAGATTTGATTGGATTAATGCTAAGGGGGAAGCTCTACAAGCGTGCCAATTTGACGAGAGAGATTGGATGCCACGATACA